CAGAGTTCCTGTGAGGCATTGGGAACCGCAAAGTTTTTCAAAGGGGAAGCGGGAGCTATTTTTGGAGATTTTTAAACACGTGGCCAGGCAGGGCTCTAAGTGTTCTTCTCTCTGATGCCTATGGGGTTATTTTGGGAATGGCTCCAAGAAACAGGCTGCCCCTTCGTGTTTAGCTTGAAGCCTTTGATCACCCTGGCTGGTAGCTGGGTGTGGGGTGGGTGCCTGTGCCTGCCTGTGAGTCCTAGGGCCAGGCCACCTTGTAAAAATGAGTGCTCTCATCAGGGTCACTCGTGTAGGCAGAGCCCCATGGGAGCTAAAGGAGCTCTCTCCTCCCTATTCAGTCCCATAATTCTCTGTAACCTGCAATATATCATTTTAATAGTACCTTCCCAAGGATTTTTAACCTCTTGCCTGTGCTACTTCTTCAGCACTTTCTACTGCTCTTTTATTTTAGGCCATCAGCTACTTTATGTAGAAGAATTCCTCTTAGTGAGTCTTGAGCCTTCTCCATCAAATCTCCTAAATCTCCTCTGTGTGGTTGTTGTTTTTGAGGCTCGGGGAGGAGGCCTGGAGTGATCTGGAGGCTGGTCTTCTCAAGTGGAAGCAGGAAGTTCTAAGATGGATGGGACAGAGATGTCCTATGAGACTTATTAGTGGTCAAAATAAAAGGCTATACCAAAACATTGGTACACTATTGCCTGCCTGAAGTGGGACAGAAAACCCTCTGAAGCTATGTCCAGGGACTTCTCCCAGACAGACTTATTTTGTGGGCTTACAGAGGAAGGGGAGTTTCTTTTGGTCATGCTGAGAAGATCTTAGGAGACTTCAGGAGTCTGCTGCTGCTGTTCAGCACCCGTCTCTGCTGCCCTGCCAGCAAACACCAGTACCAGCTCTGTATGGCTCGAGGTTCTTCCAGCCTACTTGGAGTTTTAAAAGGGATGGGGCAGGGCTGGTGGACAGGGAAATGACTCCTTTGTTGTCTTTGGCCTGCCCCAGCCCCTCCACTGGAGGGTTGCTTTCCCTGTGTGGGATCCCCCCCTGGTTGGTTTCACCACTACTTCAGGGACCTTAGGCCAGCCTGTCTTAGACCATTGAAAATGATTCTGTGATTTAGCACCGAGAGGTATCCCGAGTGCATCTAAGGGGGCATTTCGGAAGCCTTGTACCTAACCTCTCCTCCCCTGTTGTGTTTCATGAGTATTTTCCAGCACAGAGTGGCTGCTGGCAGGACGAGGAGGGGAGAACAACATGTTCCTGGAATTGTCTCCAACCTGCCCACTCTCCTCTTCCTATGCGAGGCTGTGGGAATGAGGGGAAGAGGCCGAATTAAATGTTCAGCCAGTATTTGTGAGAGGACTGTGCTAGTAAAATACAGTCAGGGAGACTTTGCCCACTGGAGCTTCAGCTTTGGCTGCAGTTTGATTTTTTTTATGGCAATTAAAGTGGTAGATTTTTTAGTAAAAACCCCTTTAACCAAGCTTGGAGCCAAATGTTGATCTGGTGCTTTTCTTCACTCTGCTGTCCTGTTTGGCTCTCTGAAGAGGAGCAGGGCTTTGTCTTCACCCTCCTCCAGAGGTGCTGGCCCTGGGGCGCTCCCTGCTGAATTCCCCTGAGATGCTGCCCACATCCTCTGAGCTCACTGGAAATCCTTGGCAGGAGAAGAGATACTGCACTGCTTCTTTGTGCTGTGTCCCAGCTCCACACCACACTGCTGGGGTGCAGCCTTAATGCTCAGTGTTTGCTGCGTGCCCGTCACGCTGCTGGGGTGAGCACAATGACAGAGCGTCGGAGGAGTGGCTGGATGAGCAATCACCCAGCTCAGAGCCCAGATCTTTAATCAAAGCGGCATTAAGGTCTTGCTCTACAACATTTTCTCCCCCCCTCCGCCCTTGTCCTTGGCCTGAGCCCTGCTTGCAGCAGCAGGGTTGGCTGATGTGCAGCATCCCCAGCAAGTCATCAGTAATTGCAGGCGTCGCTCCTGGCCGCGGGGCCCAGTGCCACATCTCTCCATAGTGAGGTGTGTGCGCTTCATGCAGCGGGAGGTTAAAGGAGGGGTTCCACCCACAGCCCTTAAATCCACTTCCAAAATGCTCGCCCTTAAGACTTTGAAGCATGATTACAGCTTGACCTATATGGCAGCAGAGCTGTGGGTAGAAAGGATGGATTAAAAATTACCACCTTTGCTCACATGTGCTGAATCTGCTCTATAATGAGCAGCAAATGACACACTGATGTAGTGCTAGGCGAGGACATGCTTGCTGCCACGTAATGAAACACCTTGGCTGAAGGTGACCCAGGACAGAGGTGGGGCAGGTGCTTGCACAGCATTGCCTGTCTTGCTGCTGCAGCTCTCTGAAGATGAAGAGCTTCCTCTTGATACCTAATTAACATAATTAAATTCCTCTTAAAAGCAACACTCTGACTTATCTGTTCTTAAGAAAGCAGAACTAATGAACTTGAATTGCCTTTGTTAGAGTCCCCTTCGGTTGGGCAATACTACCCTTACATATGCACAAGGCATCTGCTGTGCTTTTGCATCTGAACTCTGGCAAGTGCGTGGTTTGGGTTGTTGGTGAAAACACTCGCCATGGCAACCCTCTACTTCTCTGATTTTTCCGTAAAGCATCAGTAATTAGCCCTTTGGTGAGCACTGTCACCTCTGAAGTAAGAGCTGTGCCAAGCCTACTGCAGTGGCAAATAAGTAGGTTGAGAAACTCATGTGGGTGTCTGCGCTGGTCTGTTTGAGGTCTGTCAGATCCTGCCTGCCTCGGGGAAAGTTTGCTCTCTTTCATCCTGCGGAGAGACAGGATCATCTCTGCTCAAAGCACCATGACCTCAGTGCCCAGTGCTGGGAGGAGGAGATTATTGCTTGGTTTGCCTATGGCCTGACCAGAGGATCTTGATGAAAACACCAGTTTGCTTCCCCTTCAGGGAGAACAGGCTGTTTTCCAAGTTCCACTGATAGGCTTTGCCTCTTGCATGTGAGCCCTGGCCAGCTGCGAGGCACGCACCTCCCTGCAGCGTGGCTGGGCGATGGCCCCATCACATGCTTAAGTCGACTGTTTGGAAGAGCAGAGCCATTTGCAAGCAGCTTTTCAGCGAGCTTTTCTCTATTACTGAGTCCTCTCCCAGCTCAGTCCTACTGCTGGTGATCCCAGTCCCCATGCTGGAAAGCCCTGGATGCTGCTCAACAGCAAGGCACTGCTTCTCTCTTCTCCCAGAGGGAACTGCCACGGTGCTAGGAAGCACCCTGCTATCAGCACAGCTCAGCCCTGATATATCTACCATGTCAGGGCATGCTGTGGTCACGGTGTGGTACAGCTGCTCTGTACTCCAAGGGTGCATACAGGCTGTGGAGAAGGACGCTGCGGCCACACTCAAGGTAGCCAAGTTGTTGGCACCTCAAACACCAGCATTGGTGTGTTCAGCACAGAGAGACCTGCTTGGTCCTGTGCTGCTCAAAATAAGAAGAGAAGAAAGGTGATCTGAAGTTAGTCACTTGGCAGAAGGCAGGACAGGTGATCTGGCTCTTGCATCAAGCTCCCTTGAGCATCCCAGAGCGTTCACCATGCTCGGGTGTGCTCCCGAGGCCAGGCAACGCCGCAGGTGTTTCCTGTGCATCCTGCCTTTGAAGTGCAGCAGGACTCGTATGAGCTCTGAGCCTGGCCAGATGACGTGGTGCAATACCTCCAAGGGAGATAGGAGCTCTCCTTTTGCTTGTCATGAGCCTAATTAGAAGATAAGTGTTTCTGAAACTGGAAAAGTCTCTTAGTGATGCCTGTCAGAGATGCTGATTGAATGCTAAATGAGGGTAGCAATGTTGGGACCAGCTGTTCCAGGTGATACCAAACTGGGAGACAGACTGGTTGTCAAGTAAAGCAGAAAAATGTCTAGAGGGAGATATGCACAAGTTTCTAAGAGTGGTTGGAAGCAATATGAAGCCAAAACAATGTGAAGAAACTTCATGGCAGCAAGTTTCAGGCCTGGAGGAGTGGAGCTGCTGGGGTGAAGGAGAAGAAATCATGTTTCACCTTTCCAGCTTAACAGCAGCAATTCTCTTTCACCATCAGTCTTCACCCCAGAGCTTCACTGAGAGCTGCCAAGGGCCAGGCCCTAGGAGGAACCACGAGCGCTCTCCTCCTCCCCTGCTCCTCACTCCCCAGCAGCGAGATGCTGCAGGGCAGCAGAACCACCACAGCCCCATGGACTTATCTCACAGCATCGCATCCACCTCTCAGCATGACCCAGGTGCCTTCATCTTGCCCCAAGCAGCCTTTGGAAATCTGTAGCCAAGGCTGGGCAGAAATTATCACAGAGTAAACATAACCTGTAGCTGCTGCCTTGTGTCCCTCCTGGGCTGTGTGCTGGAGCTGAGCGTGGGTGGTGTGGATGCCCTGGGCAGGCTGGGAGCCACCAGCCCGCAGCGTGCACTGGCACCAGGACGTGCTGGCAGGGCTCTGGGTGGCTCTGCAGCAGTGTCTGCATGGAGACACTCCTTTTGGCTCTCTGGGATTAGGAGCATGGAGATATCCAGCTAGATATAAGGGTAGCAGTGGGGAAGGCAAAAGAAAGGCTTCTTCCCGGTAGTCCTCACCTAGTTTAAAGAAATACATCTCATATTTTATTACTTTCCCTGGTCCCTGCGGGGAAGGAGATGCAGAACTTCCAAATATAATAATCTGGAGGAAGCTGTGGCAAGCAGCTTTCGCATGCATGGGGATTTGCAAAGCCTCAAAGGGGCCCAGCTCGTAGGGAGGCTTTGAAGAGACAGCCGTGGCAGTTCCTAGGATGGATGGCTGAATCTCTGCTTGTTCAGGGCCATGAAGCACAGCAACGAGTACTCAGCTTGCTGTTAGTGATTGCTGCAGAGGGCTGGGGCAGCTGGGACCTCTTCATTTGTCTCCTTTCCCCAGCTGAAGCCCACTGCAACTGAGGCTGCTGTAGGAAACAGGTGCTATATAACCTGGCTCACAGCCCCCTTCCCAAGCTCTGCCCTAGGGGGTGGTGGTATGTGCTGCTGGGGGCTTTCCTAGGAGCTGTGTGGATGACCCTGGCCCCTGCATGGTGTCAGCTGGTCCTGACCTGTGCATGCTGCTGGATTTCTTGATTGTTTGGGGTCTCCAGCCAGCGAAGCCCCTGGGATGTGCTCCTCACCCCCATACTCTCAGTGCAGAGGCTGATGCAGTGCTCCCAGTGCCAAGGGTGAGGCTGCCAAGAGTGCTGATGGGGAGAGGAGCAGCATGTTGGTTTGTGCTAGCAGCAGGGCTGACTCAGGGCTTTCTCCCCATGGCTGGGAGCTGACTCAGCTGCTTTGCCCCTTTTTTTTTTTTTTTTTGGTTTCTCTGAGGGCTGGGGGCATCTCCTGGGGCCCCAGTGCTGCAGCAGGGGTGAGTGGTTAGTCCTTGTTGGGAGAGTCACATCTTGGGTGTTTTTGGGCACAAGCCAAGAAATTTGGTAAATGGTTCAGGGCTGCTTTTGGTCTGTGTTTTATGGTGTAGCTGGTGAGCCTGGACTAATTACTGGGGAAAATGTGTGCTGCAGTAGTACTGATTTCTACTGTGAAGTCCCGTCCCCCCCCTGTGTGGGATGGTGATGGATCAGGGCTGCAGAGGCTCTGCCTTCCAGAGCATTGCTGGACTGTTTTTTTGTGGTATTACTCATGCGTATGTCAGAGCAAAGCTGCTCTGGAGGAGGCTGGGTGAGGTGCTGACCAGCTTGTGGGTTAAAAACCACCCTGGAGGTGGTCTCCTGCTGGGAATGGGGACAGGCTATGATGGGGGGGGACACGGTGGGCTAGCTGCCCCTGTGATAGCTGAGCTTTGGCTCTGCCCTTTGCAGATCTTGGCTGTGTCATATTAAGCTCTGAGCTGCAGTGTGTGGAACATCTTGTGTGTCTAATTAGGACCCACTTGTGCCTCTAATCTGCTGGAGTCATCTCCTGGTGACGGCAGCGCGTGGGGTGCTGGGTGAGGCTGTGCCTCATCGCTTTGGGTGCCACCTCCAGGCCCTGTGGCAGTGCAGGCCTTGCAGGCAGCAGAGTGCCATGTGCTGGGCTGCTTCTGCAGCATTGTGCCCCCCTGTGGTGTTACAGAGCTCCATCTGTGGGGTAGGGAAGTTGGGACCCCCTCGGGACTGCCACCCACAGTGACCTGCTTCAGGAGGAGAGTGATTTCTTAGCTTGGAGCATGGGATATGCCAGGTGCCCCCATGGCCAGAGGGATGCTGACCTCGCCACCTCCACCACTAGGGGTTGTCCCCAGTGGTCTCTTTTGGGTAGGTGAGGCCATGGGAGTGCCATGGCCACCCCAGTGAGTGCTGTGCTGCTGGGGGAGCTGCCCCATCACCAACCAGTTTCTCCAGTTCCTTTGTGCCAAATCCAGTCTGTCAGGCTGGTTTATGCCTGTTTATTTGCCTGGAGAGGGGGAAAAAATAATAAAAGAAGGTCAGCAGTCTGTGGATGGAGGGGTGGGGGCCTCAGGCACCCAGGCTGGGCACTCCAGCTGAACTGGAGCCATCCCAAGCTGCCTTACACTGTGGTTTTAGGGAGGACAAGCATGGCCTCAGCCAAGACAAAGAAACCCATCTTTCATTCTGCTTTGGATGCTGGAGCTTCTTGGAGATGTGTCAGCGCTTCACAAGGGAGCTGCGTGTTGGACGGGGACACGAGATGTGGGATGCCTGTGTGTGGATGTGGTGACACATGGGGACAGGCAGGTCTCAGGGATGGCACGGGCAGGATTTGTGGTCCTGTCTCAGGCTGGCCTGCAGGCTCCCAGCAGCGTGGTGTTACAGCCCTGGCTTGGGCCCGCCCTTGGATTCCTCTGCAGTAGGAGCAGACAGCCTGCATGCTTCTGTGCCATGAGTACAGGGAGGCCTCATCCATTAAAAATCAGCCCACGGAAGAATGATTTCAAAATCCACCCCAAATGCTCCTACTCTGAAATAGTTTTTCTTTAACTCTCCTAGGAATGTTTTGTTCTGTGGCTGCATTTTGCTGGCAGCCACAGCCCTGACTCTGTGTCAGTGCCTGGGGAACGGGGACATCTTGGCCCCAAATGCTGGGCACGAGGGGTGGCTTTTGGCTGAGGAAGACCTGTGCCAGGCAGGCTGGCTGAAGTGCCAGTGACCTCATGGTCACCAGGGAGGGAGACAAGTCCCTGGCTGGCTGGGTTTGTCTGATTTGATCCCCATCTGCACGGAGAGGACACCAAGTGTCTTCTGCTGACTCACGGATGCCTCCTTACGCAAAGGGTGTAAATACCACAGAGGCAGCTCCCAGAAATGACTCTAGCACGGGTGCTGGCTGTGCTTAAGAGACCTTTAGACGTTGCCAAGTCTAAAACAAGACCTTGACGTTTCTTATTTTCTTTTCAACTGTTTCCGAAGACCCTTTGAGAGGAAGGGCTGAGCCCAGCCACATGTGCCCACCTCTGCAGCATTGCTCTCCCTCCCGCTGCCATACCCTCCTTGTGCTGCCGTCTGCACTCTGCTTCCCCCTTCGTGACACGGGCCCATGAGTGAGCGGGCGATGCTGCTAGCAACCCCTGCGTAAGCAGCCTGGTTTTGGGGAACTGCTGCAGAGGCAGCAGAAGTGAAGCTGGGTGGAAAACCCCTCTGCTTGTTGAACTTCCAAAAACAACACAGCCTTAACTAAGCAGCTGAAATTAAACTTTTTCCCCTCTCAAAGGCATGGTTATCAGCGTATGTAACATCTGGAGATACTGGGGACAAATTTTAGCTGCTGTGACATTATATACCGGCTCTAGAGATGTTTGACTGCCATGATTTGCAGAGCTGTTGGGCAGCATTCCTTGTTGTCTTGTCTAATTTTTTCCCTTCTTTCCATGTCTGTAGGCTGGAATCAGCCTGGATCTGAACAGCCACACCTTGGGATGCTGCAGCTTACTCATGGCTTTTTGGGACTACCTTTGCCTTGTTTCCCCAAACTTTCAGGTTGACTTGGCCACTCTTGGAAGATGAGGCTGGGTTTGGGGACATGGGGGTGAGCACAACTCAGGGGTTTCACTTTTGCTTATAAGACAGCCCCTCCCAGGTCAGGTAATCTGATTCAGAAGGACCAGAGCGAGCCTGGGGAGTCTGCCTCGTGGCAACCTGAGCCTTGGCATTGTGGACATGTTTTGTGATGGGGTCACATCCGCCTTCTCCCCATGGGGAAAGGGAGAATCCTGGAGAATGCTCATGGAAACCAGGAGAGATGGAAATGTATGTTTTTTAAAAAAATAAACAGGCTTCACTCATTCAGAGGTAAGTGGAGCAGGGACAGGTGTGGGCACTCCATTACCCTGAGAGCCCTGCTACTGCTTGGGGTTATGGGGAGCAGTGAAGGGCCAGGCTGGTGGGGAGCAGAGCCCACAGCTCCTCAGTGCTGCCCAGGCTCAGAGTCGCTTGCTGGGGAAACAGCACAGTGGTGACTTGGGTCAGAATGGCACGAAATCTGGTGCTTAGGCACAAAATGGAGCCTGGGCTGCCCCTGGATGGCCCCTGAGTTGGAGACCTGCCGTGCTCGTGTCCCCGTGCAACATCTCTCTGAGTAAATCATGCGCATTGCAAACTGCTGCTGTTGTTTAGATGGATGTGAGATAGTTCAGCCTGGAGCTGTGTTCAGCCCTGTAAGTTTAACGCACACAAATGCTGCTGAAGAGTTAATGGGAAACAGAGTGCAGGAAAATAAAGAAAGACCTTTTGAGGTCTCAGCTGCTGAGGGTAATATTTGGGTTTGGTGACTGTCCGTATCTTAGAGATGGGAATGCAGCAAAGCTCTTTGAGTCCAGAGTATACATGGAGCCCGACAAGATTGTGGGCTAATATCAACAAACCTTTTGGAAAAGCAGATCCTGTCTGCTCCAGCAAAGCTGCAGTGTTATTTTTCTTTCAACAAATGTATTGAGACAATAATAATGCTGTGCAGATTGGTTGTCCCTGGCCTACATGATTTATTAGGAAACAGAAACAATTGCAGTTGCTGAAAAAAGCTTTGGACACGGATTTTTTTTTCTTCCTTTTATTTCCTCCCCCTTGAATTCCTCATGAACTAAAAAAGGCCACCTACTCTGGTCCCCAGGGAGGGGTTCCCTCCCTGCCTGCATTTCTTACTGGACCACCAACCCTGGGCTTGCAGCTTAAATACTTCAGTGCTGGGGAGGAGAGAGTGAAACCGCACTGGGGGAGAGGCAGGGAGGAGGTGACACAGCCCAGGACAACAACTCCCAAACAGAAGTAGGGCAGGTCTGGAGGAGAGACCTGCAGTCTGTTTCTAGCTCTCAGGGACAAGTTGCTTCCTCTCCCTGAGCCTCCCTTCTCTATTTATCCTGTTTATTTAGTGCAAAAGCCACTGGGAGTGGTGCTGCTTGCTGCAGGCTGAGCACTGCAAGGTCTTGAGCCTTGCTTGGTCCTGCAGGTGCAGAAGATCAGGAGCTGATGGAAATTGCTGTCCTTGGGTTGGAAAAGGCTTTTTCATTGTGGTGTATAGGAGTGATGGGGGAAGGCTGAACTTGGGGACTGGCTCTGCTCTACCTCAGAAACTGCAAAAGCTGTGAGCTACTTGCTTTAGAGTGTGCAGTATCATGTTATTGCTGTTCAGTGCCCCGGGCTGTCCAGTGCTGGCTCTGGCCATGTCTCCCTCACCTTGTGCTCTTGGTCCACCCTTTCCTACTCAGCCTTTTCTCATGAAGAGGTGGGGATGGACAATCTTTCCCCAGGTGGCTGGGTCTCCTCGGGACCACAGTGCTGGGACAATTCACCACCTGGGGTCAAAGGGTTTCCAAGCCTTTCCAGAGCGTGGGGCTTCCAGACCTTGCCTGTTGGTAGCTCCAGGAGATGTCCCATGGCCTTGACCGGGGGCTGCATCTGCCCTCTCTGTGCAGCGTGGTTATAGCAGCATCCTGCTGGGGGATGGAGCTGCCTGGGGAGTGGGGAGCTCGAAGGAGGAGGCTGGAGGACAGGACAGGGTGAAGGCTGCTCCTTTGCTACCAAAGCGTTGATGCACTTGAGGGATATCTGCTCAGGGTTTGCAAGCAGCTTCCCCAAACAGCCCATGGTGTGGAGGGTGGGTTGATCTCCATCATGCCAGCACATCATGGGGCTGAGCAAGCCTCATGTGGTCCCACTTGTCCCCACAGCACACAGCTTTGATAGCTTTTCTGAAAAGAAACCAATGGTTTTCATTAACAAAGCAAGTGACTGCCTTACAGCTCACTAAAGTCTCTGATCACTTTGAGGCAGTGGGACAAGGTGCTCTGGCAGTGAAACACTGTGAGGAAACTGATACCATCATGGTTTGCTTGGCTTTCAGAAATGACTGAGCAGATTTTCTCTGGTTTCCAGCTGACCACATGGCTCTGCTGATGACAGGGACAGGCTACACAGTTTTGAGGTAATGCAGCCCTGATCAGCCCTGAATCTACATCAAAAATTGGAGATAGATGCTGCAGGTAAAGGGAAAGGGAAAGCTGTATTGCCTGCACTCGGCTCTTGCTGTTATTAAATGGGGGATTTCTGGGAATCATCTCTGATTCATTCTCCAGCTGAAACACAAGTATTTTGCATTTGCCTGAAAGGATTAAACTTTTAAAGCTCCTGCCCTTCTTGCTGGCTGTTTTCCTCCAAGGGCTTAGTTAGCCATGGCTCCCAAATTTAAAGAAAAGGATGTTGGGGTGGTTTTCCTTTGTGATCATTCTGTTCTATGCCTGGAGTCAGCACAAGAAAGCTGCTCTGAGTCAGTGCATATCAGCTGTACTTGCTTATTGCAGGGGGCTACAGGAGGCCTGGGTAACTGCTGTATTTGGTTCCTTTTCTCCTGGGTTTCACTGACATTTCAGATAGTAAATGAGCAGTTCCTTTCCCCTACAGATGTTTTCTGTTGGACATAGTTGGGAAGAGACCTTGAATGCTAAATTCATATGCTTCACTTGTGGTTTTTCCAGGCTCAATTAAATTGGTGTGGGACACTGGGGAGGATACTGTGGCAGCACAGCCCTTGTCTCCCTGCTGGCAGGAGAGAGGGAGCACAGATCTTGGTGATCAGACACATGACGTTTGACTCCTGTAGCTGCAGGGTGCTGGGTCCCTGCCCTCCTTGCCCTGGCTCCTGTGACAGTGGCTGAAGCCCACAGCACTGGGGATCTGCCTGTGAGCATCCAGCTCACTTCTCACCCCCAGTGCTGGGAGAATTTCAGGCATAGGACCACATCATGGGAGTGAAAATGCTCACAGGAGCAAACCCTCCTCTGCTGGGTGGTGGGGATGGATGGGTGCTGGATAGCAGAGCTGCACAGCCCTGCTCCAGGACAGTCTGTTTCCTGCCTTGCTTGCAGGCACCAAATCCTCACATCTTCTGCTGAGACCTAAGGCTCTGCGTCACCTCCAGGGTTGGTGTGGAGTTAGACACCAACCAGCCCCACGCTTCGTGGGGAGGGAAGGGAAATCCAGCTCCTGTGCTGCCCCTGGAGAGCATCTCTTAATCGAGGCCTGCACACAAATGTGTGCTCACATGCTCACAAAGGCAGTGCTTGCCTGTGGCTGCACGTTCACAGTGTGACAGGCCTTATAAGCCTCAAGCAATGTTATCTGGAAGTGGGAAGTGAATCAAATCAGGCCCTCTGGTGCAGAGCTGCTTTGCCTCTCAGGCTGTGTATGCTGCAGCATGCTCCTGCTGTGGCTGCCTTCCCTGTGCTTCAGAACAGAACCACCTGTCCATCTGCAGATCACTTCAGCTTCTTACAACATCCTGGAATATTTTCTGTCTCTCAGACTCTTCCTGAGCTCCTGCAGTGTCTCCACTGAGCATCTGTGTGGAAGGAGATGCACAAGGTCTGAGCATCACTTACGTCTTTGGGAGAAGGGTTATATCAAAGTGGTGATGCTGACAGGTTGTTCCTGGCTCCATGGAGAAGATGCAGCACCTTCACTGGTGCTCAGCTGGAGACAGGAGCAACCAGAAGAGAGCTACAAAGCACAAATGGCCCATACATAGTCAAGGTGCTGCTGCGGTAAGGTCTTGTGGATTCTCCTCTTTTGTAACCTTTAAATACCAAAGTCATAAATAAAACCCAGCTGCAACTGAATAACATCTGGATGATGGTTTGCTCTGCCCTTGCTTTGGATGGGTACAGCAGAAATGGGGAGTAGCCATGAGGTGGCTGCAGTGACTTGGTGTTTTGCAGCCCAGATGCAGAAGCCCTGAGCTGACTGGTGTGCTCAGACCCACTCATACATATTTTTAAAGGAAAATCAGTAACTTGCGGAAGTGCTGCTTGGCTCAGTGACCCAGGGTTATGGGGGCTGTAGAGTTTTGAGACCCTCAGCCAGACCTGTGGAGTCCTAAACCCCAGACTGGCCAGTGGGGAGACAAGAAGCTTTTGGAGCTCCTCAGCCCATCCAAGCTGCGAAGCGGGGTTGTGAACCTTGTTGTTCTCTGCGAGAATGTTGCTTTTACAATTAAAACCCACGCAAAGCCCCGGCCCTTGCTACTGCTTGTGTTACCCCAGTGAGATATCTGACATTTGAGACAGAATGGGAAGTCAAAGAATGCGAGGAATTTGGTGACTCAACATAGGGTTTATTATACCAGTCCTACCGTTTAAGCCCGTGTAATGTAAGATTGTTTTACGGCATGTGGCACAGTTCTGTGGGTTAATTTATAAGCAAACAATTATTCAAATCGGAATTTTTTTCCATGCCTACATAAACTTGTTATCTGTTTGGCAGCAGGGGATGCTGCAAAGAAATGCACATTTACATTTATGGCATTGAGCTGCTCCAGGAAAAGTAAATAACATCAATGGTGCATTGACATGGGAGACTTACTACTGAACTTGACCTGGGAGTGGCATGGAGATAAGCCAAAAGTTAAGAGAAAAGGAGTCCTTTGTGTGGAGATGCCAGTATATTAGGTCTCACTTTTAGGTCACACACTTGTTAGGGGTTCCTTCAAAGTGATGGATTCCTCTGCAAAAATTTAATGATGTCCGTTAAATCACAGGGTCATGAACTAGTGCATGTGCTGAAAATGGTTTGCCAAAGGACCATGAAGACAAGGCCTTGTGTCAGGAGGCTTCCAAAGCAAATTGGATTTTCCACACAGCAATGGCTGCGTTTGAAGGTCTGTCAGTGGCCTGTAAAATTCTCCACCAGCGATAACAAGACAGAATTGCCAAGCACTGAAGCAATGCCACAAGCGTTACAGAACAAATGGCTCCCTCTCCGTACATAATAGCTTCTTGATCATCAGTCAAAGAAAGAATTATCCTAACCAGCAAAGAGGCTGGAGGAGGCTGCTCCCTCTGCTCCAGGAGATCATCCCAGAGCTCCTGGGCTAAAGCCGTTGGGGCAAGCCTGGGGAGCTTCTGGGAGCATCGGTCTGGGGCTGAGCGGTTGGGTAGGTGGATTTTTGGGTTGGATGTGTAGAGAAGGAAGGAACGCAATGTCAAGGCTTGCATCCCTAAGCAGGCCTATGGGGTCACCTGGCCCAACCTGAGACCAACCCCAGGACCAACCATGTTCACATGGAGGGAAATATGGACTGGTGCAAAGGTAGGTGGGGTCTGTGTGGAGAAGTCAGTCTATTTCCTGCTCTCCTGATGCTAACCTGGTCTCCATTTTTCAGTCTGGATCCTACAAAAGGTAGGTGCTAGGAATGACTTTATCTGTATGCTCTTTAGCAGGATGAGATGAGATGGGTCACTTGTGTAGTTAGATACTGTTCTGAGGGGAGGAAAACCTGAGATCATCCTGTTTCAGAAAATAACTGAGTGGAAGAGGCTGAATCTGCTTGCTTTTTCTATGGCAAGAAGAGTCATAGGAGCCTTCCTTCCCAGGCTTGTTTTCTATGCCCACTGTCTGCCTGGACATGAGCTGTGCATCATCTGCTGGGTGGGAAATTCTGCAGCTTGTATGCAGACCCATAAACAGTTTTTCTACCTTCTGTATTTTGACCCTTGAGAACAGGACTCTAATCATGATGTCCTTCCACCCGTCTCACATGTATTTATGTAAGGATCACATCTAACAAGCATTTCCGACAGGCTGCTAAATTCATTGAAGCAGAATAACCTCTAACCCAGCTTCATTGGCTGTGCTGGTGTTGCAGGAAGGATGATTTGGCTCATTGCATAGCATCCTTAGATGCAGTGGTTTGCTAAGCATCTGAATGTGGAGCCAGGAGGTCGGGTGTTCAACTGGAGCTCATACCCAGCACTAACAGACGGGGGAAGTTCCAGTCGTGATGGCAGTATATTTTAATGGTGAGGTAATTTACAATGTCTGTTAAGTTGTCTGCTGTCCTAAGCATGAGAAAATAAAGTGGAAGCTAAAAACCCCAGGGAAGACCTTTCAGAAAATAGCCTAGTGGTCTGGTCAGATCTTCTTTGTCTGTTTTTATTAAGGACTTTTATATAATGGAGGAGCTAATAAGTAGTTGTATTGTATTTCAGAGCAGATAACACCACTGGACTTCAGATTTGAGACTTGGGTCTCCCGACAAACCTTATGAAAGGTTGATATAGTCATATTCATTTTCAATAACAAAAAATTGGTTTCTTAAAGCTTGACATAGAAGACCTTTTTGAGCTTTAGAAGGGCTCACATTGACTTGCAATGAGGTTGCACCTATGGCCTAGGTCTCCACTCGAGGTTCTGGGAAGCAGAAGGAGCTGGAGCATCCAGGGGACCTGGGCCGTAATCCCCTGTTTGCCCTGCCACCACCTGTGACACTGGGCCCACGCTTTAACCTCAGCTTCTTCCCTCATACAGTGATATAATGCTGTCTTATGAAGATGAAGAAGAGAGTGTAAGTGTTGAGAACAACTGTGATACTGGCTTGCTTGTTTGGGTTTCCTAATGACCCATATACACTTGGGGGCTGACATTCTTGTTCCTATAATTCCACCATCTGTGCTGAGCATTTCTTGGTAAAAATAGAAAGTTTATTCACTGCTCAAATCCTTTTTCCAAAGTAGCAAGTCCATTTTCCTTTATTTTGATTACTGTATTCATAAACCTGGGAAGTTGATTTCTTACTGACTCCCGTTCCTGTGAATTTTGATTTTTATGAGTAATCAGGCTAGTTGGTGAAGCTGTTGGAGGTGCAGCCTGAATGGTTCCTTCTGGATCAACAAGACACCTGCCCAGACTGCTGCTGCAGCATCAAAATCTTCTTGATACAAACAAGTACCAAAACATTTTGGAGCAGTTTGCCTGTGTTGGGTGTGGGAAGCCAGGAGCTCTGTCCTGAGCTGGCCGCGTGGGTGCTGCTGGCCTTGGGCTGACACTGGATGGGGGAGTGCATTGCTCATGTGTACGCTGGCCGTTGGCTTCTCCAGCCTGGGCTTGGACTGAGTGATGGAGAAGGCAGCTCTGGTTCCACCCAGTCTCTAAAGGATTTGATGTATCTTGCTGCCAAAAGCAAACAGCATAAATCATCTCAGAGTGCAGAGCTGTCTGGCTTCCTTGGAGGGAAAGTGCAGTCAGGGTGGGGCAAGAGGACACCAGGGTGCAATGCTGCCTGTAGGCTGGTGTGGCACAAAATCCTCCCCGAGCTTTCAGCCCAGTAAAACTTGGAAGGTGGGTGGCTCTGTCACGGTGATGCCAAGTGGTTTCTTGGAAGAGAAGGTGGCTGGGGAGTGCTGCCGGGGTGCTCCTGTGCAGAGCCCAGGGTGACCTAGGGTTTATCCTGTTTTCATTGTGATGTGTGTGTGTGTTTATGAAATCCATCACCCTGGGTGATGTCATGACATGATGAGAAACTGGGTTGTAAATTAAAGGAAGAAGGGAAAAAAAAAGACCCCACTGTGGGTCAGATGCTGGCAATAAATTCAGATAACAGCTCATCAGTGCCTCTTCCCTTGTTCTTGTATATGTATGCATTTTTTTTTCCAGTTGGGAGATGAGCTGGTGAAAAGCAGCTGTTTTTTATTTGTTCTCCATCCACATCTGATTAGATAGCACTGCTTCTGCCCACTAAGACGTGCTCGGGAACTCTCCCAGCCCCTCAGCTCACTCATTTTCTTGGGCACTGAGGAGCTTGGGACTGTTGGGGCTTTGTTTCACAAGCTGACGGCATTTCAGAGGTACAAAGGGCTCCTTCATGATCACAGGGCTCAGGTCCCACCAGGCCAGAGGGCATTGCCAGATCCTGCAGTGGGGCTGTCTATGAGGTGCTGAGGGTTTAGGCCTGGGAAGGCAGCAGTGGGGATGTTCAAGCCAATATTATTACTTTTTTTTCAGGCAGTTTTGGGGCTCTGCAGCCAAGGATGGAGTAGTTTCCCTCCAGGTTCTGTGAATGTGCCCACCAGCAAGGCTGGTGGGAAGGGAACCACGCCTCGAGGAGGAAGCAAGCTGCGGTTCTGTACCAGCGGGAGAGGGTAACCTAACAGTTAGGCGGGTAGTGTGGGAGAGGAGGAACTGGGGCGAGGGCAGGTTAATGCATAACCCTAAATGTACTCCTTGCTAAAAGCTAAAGAAGGAAAATGGTGAATTTCTAGCTTGTTGAAGCCATTGTGAAAGATCCCATCAGCTCCACTCCAAACCAGTAAGGCTTCTTCACACTATGCTACTGGAAGACTCTCCCCTTAAAGCATTTCCCAGGCAGATTTTGTCTTTCAGGAGACAGGGATGAACATTCTGCTCAGGGCAAGAAGACCCTTCTGGTCCTGCTTCTGCTGTCCCTTCCTCTTGTTATGCGACTAATTGGCGAGACGAATAGGTTTGTGTCTTGTCCCTCCTGCTGCAGCTACCATTTGGTGGCTGGCTCCTTTGAGCAGGCTGAGCCCGTTCACAAGAGAGGTTAGTCAGGGGCTGGATGGGCTCGTTACTGCAATGCAGCTTTGAACCAGATCAGCCCTGGTCAGCAGCCCTCCTTGAGCACAAAGAGAAGGGCAGATAAGCTTATCTGAGCCTGAGAACTTTTATTTATTTTTTATTTTTTGTTTTTTTGGGGGGGGGATGGGGATCTCCCGTGACAAGTCTGAAGCTGCAAGGCTGAGCTCCTGGTGCTGTGTTCAGGCAAGCCCTGACCGCGCTCCCCGTAATGCACTGAGAAGTGAGCTGCAGCTCACGTAACCCTCACCTGTTCGCTGCCGGGGGCCATGGGCTCTGCGGCTCTGTCCCAGGTTCCCAGGTGAATTTTTGGGAGTCCAGGACTAAGTCCCATGCAGAGGAGGAGTGGGGACTGCAGAGCTCCTAAAACAGCTTCATAGAGAAGAGCAGGAGGGATGCTCCTTTGCTGTCCACCAGATACAATCATGGAAATAATGAGGTGGGAAATGTTACGTGCATTCATCTCAGAAACAAGCTTTCATTGGGCCAGCCTAAATTTCTGGCCAAAATTCACAGCCGATCTTATTCCAGACTTGTTTCTCCATTCCCTTTTTATCCATGCAGCTTGTACGCTAAAAGCAGCAGAGGCAATTCAACCGCAGGCAACGGATCAGCTCTCAGACACGTGTGGAGCCCTGGGGGGGGTCCCGTAATGTGCGGGGTGCAGCTGAGGGGAGGCGAGGGAGGTGCACCCTGCGAGGTGCTGGGGCTGAAGCGAAACTTGGCCCCTTCCACAGCTGCCCTGGCCTGCAGTGACCGTGTTGGTGCAAAGCCTCCACCTGACTCTGTACCAACAAGTTCAGTTTCGAAAAAGAAGGATAACTTGTTTTATTTTACCAGAGCTTTGTGAGAGATTGGAGTTTCCGGATAGGATCTGCAATGCTCAGGTTCAGGTATCAGTTGCATAATTTCCTGTTATTTCAACA